AAGCCTGAGTGGGAAATAAAAAAAGCTCCAGGAGGGGATGGGTCTTTGGACTCCAAAACAGAAGTGGCTTCGGGAGTGCACATGTTAAAGACTGTTTTCCTAAGAGATTTTATAGACTTTTCTACGCGTTCTGAAGAGTCAAGTCAAGATCAGGAAGTTGTAGGAATGGGCATGGTTTAAAAAAAAAAGAAATGAGGGGGGAAGGAATGTGTATACACATAAATACCCACACCTACTTTAAAAGTTTTAAAACAGATTTTGTTTTTATAAGAGAAGTTTTAGGTTTACAGCAAAGTTAAGTGGAAAGTACAGAGAGTTCCCATAGACCCCTTGCCCCCCACCCTTCCCAAAGGCTCCCTCACCATCAACATCCCCCACCAGAGTGAGACATTATTACAATCGATGAATGCACATTGACACATCGTTATCACCCGGAGTCTAATTTAGGGTTCATTTGTGGTGTCGTACATCCTGTGGGTTTGGACAAACATATGAGGACGTGTGTCCGCCGTTAAGTATCACACAGAATAGTTTCACTAAATGTCCTCTGGGCTCTGCCTTTTCATCCGTCCCTCCCCACACAACTTCTGGCCACCATTGACCTTTGCCTTTCTAAAATGTCCTATGGTTGGATTCATACACCAGATCTTAAAAACGTTAATTTTATATGTTTTTTTTTTCATCGCAAACGCACACACGTGTACACATACACAATATAGTAATTTCACACTCATTATAGCGTCTTGGGGTGGGAAGGAAACCTTATAAAGCCATCTCTTCTGGAAAACAGAACATACCAGAATGCCTGCCCCCCCCGGATGTGCCACGGATGAATTATGGGTGCATTCACTAATTACTCCTGGTTTCTCAAAGAAACGTGCTCAGTTTCTCAAAGTCTGCAGCGCTACTACGGGGGGTGGATGAGGTGTTTTTCGTGTGTACTTGGCATATGATGTGACCACAAAGAGAAAAGTGTTCTCGCTTTGATTATCTTTCCGTTCATCTATCAGGGAGAGAGTGCAGAACCAATTTGTGTAAGTTCGTCTCGAAAAGTGCCTCGTCTCCCCTCGCAACAAAGTGAGGGCGGGCCTTGGATTTAGAACTTTCTGTGGGTGCCAGCAGAGAGAATTTGATACAATAGTTTTCCTTTTATTGAATAGCTGGTGATTCTGGTTTGATGCGTAGAGAAAGTTACATGTATGAAATAAACGTAAACGAGAAGGGCTTTGACTGAGATCACGATACTAAGCAGACCAGCGTGCCGTATAGATAGGGTACAATCATGATAATGAAGGTGAAGTTAGTGTCACTGAATCTGCCTTGCTGGCTGTAACGGTGATTTGATGAGGGCGCCTGGGTGGCTCAGTCGGTTGAACGTCCGACTTCAGCTCAGGTCATGATCTCGCAGTTCCTGAGTTTGAGCCCCGCGTCGGGCTCTGTGCTGACAGCTCTGAGCCGGGAGCCTGCTTCGGATTCTGTGTCTCCCTCGCTCTCTGCCCCTCCCCGCTCCTGCTCTCTCTCTCTCTCAAAAGTAAACATAGGGGCGCATGGGTGCCTCAGTTAAGCATCTGATTTTGGCTCAGGTCATGATGTCGCGGTTCTTGGGTTCGAGCCCCGCGTTGGGCTCTGCGCTGACAGCTCAGAGCCTGGAGCCTGCTTGGGATTCTGTGTCTCCCTCTCCCGCTCGCACTCTGTCTCTCTATCTCAGAAACAAATCAAAACATTTTTCAAAAAGTAAACACATAAACATAAAAAAAGAATCCTTTTAAAAAAAGTGATTTGATGCATAAACATGCGATTCACACACAGCTTTTAGGAAGTACTTCTAGCAAAGTCCATACGGTTGGACTGTTTCCCCTGTTCTGTTACTGAGTATTGTACATTACAACCGAAATTTCCAAGAACAGGGATCGCGCTTCTTTGTCTAGAAGATTGAAGGGGTTTGGAGCGGTCTGACAGATATCATGTACGTTACCATTCTGTATTTTGGTATTGATTTAATTAGACACCGTCTTCTACCTGGGCTGGCTATAACCCTTGTCTGTGAAGCTGAATGAACCCGGCATGAGGCAGAGCAGAATTTTGGAAGCAGTCGAGTTTTTCCAAACGGCGATCGCCACGCTGCGGGGGGGAGCGACACCGTGTCA